AACATTAAAACCCACAAAGGTGCGGGAGAATGCTGGGACATTTTTTCCACCTGGATCCCTCTATTTGCCCCATGTCCTCCGTGTTGCACAGACTTGCCTCCACTTCCTCAACGCCTCGGCCCTATCTAGACACCACAGCTAGTTCCTGATTGGCCCTCTGGCGTTGTGTGCGTGGAATAACAGCGCAGACCACGCTTCAATACCGGGCATATAAATCAAACAAATGTGCGACAAGCTCACTGCGACACACTGCTGAGGGACGATAACCAGGCCTTTAGGGCGTACGTTCCGAAACGGTGACTTTTTCCTGACTTTGCCAGCCAAACAAACCTGGCATGAAGATTGTTTAATGGTTGCCATGGAGATTTGGTAACTTCCAGACTAGTTTTTCCCACTGGAAAAAAATGTAATTCTAAGTTTTTTTTTTTTTTTTCAAATAAGTGCTTTTTTTTTTTATGATTTGCGGAGGTAAGTGAGACACTTTGCCAGTGGAACAAGACAACTTACATTTAAAATAAGAAAAAATATTGCATTTTCTTATTACAAGTGTATGTTATCTAATGATCTTATTTCAAGACTAAGAATACTCATTCCATTGGCAGATCATTCATTAACCTTCTCAAATTAAGGCTAAATACAGTACATTTAAGACATGTTGACCTATTTCTAGATCGTTTTTGTAGTGCAGAGTTTTTCCTGTTTCATTATTTTTTCTTCTCTCTTTCTTTTCTATTTTCCTTTCCTTCTATTAATAAATCCTTATCTCCTTTTCCTGAATTACTGGTGATCTAACAGTTTATTTTTGTGGAACAGAATCAGAGTTATTGCCATAAATGCATTTTGCTGTAGCTGTTGTAACTTTAGGTTGCAGATGACGTCCACCTATAGGACATCTTAACAATGTGCAATTGTTTGCATTCATGTTATTAAATATACATACAGAAACGATTCTTTGACATTATTGTTTGAGTTTTCCGATCTGCTTATTACATTTAAATGCTAAATAGGACCAAAAAGCCTTTTGACTGTTTTAAAGTTGTTTTAAAAAGGCCAGTTCAGGTCATCAGCTCGTTTCTTGCTGCCGTTTCCTTACATAGAAAGGTCAACAAGTCGGAATTACTTCCTTATAATGTTCTGTATTCCCATTTTGAAGAAAGAGTGGAATAAAACGTATTACAGCAGATGTATCGGGGGGTCATCGGGTGATAACGTCCTTCTGTTTGCTGTGTTTGTTGGCTGCAGTATTACTGCTGTAAGCCGGAGGAGTCAGAGAAGGGGGAAGACGAGGAACCAGAACTTTCACCATGTCACCTTCTCGACCCTGGCTCTGTGTGCTCCTCCCACGCCTCCAACGCCGGAGCTCTACAGCGAAGAGCCTGAGTCGTACACCCCCACCTTCCTCACCGAGGCCAACGGGCCCTCCAGCCACTCCTCTCCACCTCCCCTGCGGAGTGGGTGCCAGCGTGTCCACGCCTTCTGCCCGTCCTGCGCCCGCTGCTCGCTGCCCTTCTACCTGCAGCATACGGAGCGACTGTGCAACGGAGGCCGCCGGATCAGCTACCGGACTGTGCAGCAGCAGGACCTGGAGCTTGCCCGCGGATCTGGACAGCTTCTACCAGAAACTGATCCGCTCCTACACCATGGAAGGAGGTGGTGAGCCACAGCGTGAGCACCGACGTCTAAGCAAAGCCTGCTGGCTCTTTATCTGGGCTGGATGGAGGCCTGCAGCTGGGAGCCACAGCTGGAGCAGCTTCTGACCAGAGCCTGTCCTTCAAAATGATCATGCATAACAAATATATCTTTGCCACACTGCTAAATGAGTGGGTTACCTCAGATATAAAAAAAGCATTTTAAGGGAGACTTCAGTTTGATTGGGTTTCTTCCAGAGTCGTAAGGAGGTTTGGTGTTGGTTGTGGAGCTCATCCTATCAGTCCAAACATAGGGAAAAATGTTAAAAAAAAAAACTCCATCAAAGATTGTTGGGAAAAATGTGAAATTCAGCAGTTCATCTGGGGATGAAATTTTATAGAAATTTCCCCTAAAAGCGTAAAAATACTATTGAAATGTTTTGTTTTTTTTCCCCGCTAAAACCCGAAAAAATTCTTTAAATTATTTTGAATACCAAAAAGAGAAAAATTAAAAAAAAATCCATTGGGGCTTTGTTTAAAAAGACTTTCGCTCAAGGGTTTTTAACTTAGTGGGAAAAAAGTTGGTGGGGGGGGCTCTAAGGGTGGGGGGCGCTTTTAGGTTTTGGGGGGGCCCTAAAGGTGGGGGCTTTTAAAGGGGGGAAGGGGGTTTTAAGGGGGGGGCGCTTTTTTAAAAAAATGGGGGGTCTAAATGGGGGGGGAGAGCTTTAAGGGTGGGGCGCTTTTAAAGGGGGGGGGCGCTTTTAAAGGGTGGGGCCTCTAAGGTGGGGGGGGCTTAAGGGTGGGGGGGTTTAAGTGTGGGGGGGGTCTAAGGGTGGGGGTGCTCAAAGGGGGGAGCGCTCCCAAGGGGGGGAGGCCTCTAAGGGTGGGAGCGTTTTTAAGGGGGGAGGCGTTCTAAGGGTTTGGGGGGCTCTAAAGGGTGGAAGGGGGGTTCTAAAAGGGGGGGCCCTTTTGGGGGCGTTCTAAGGGGGGTTTGGGGGGCGCTCTAAAAAGGGGGGGCGTCTTTTGGGGGGATGGAAAGGGGTTTTAAGGGTGGGAGCGGTTTTAAAGGGTTTGGGGGGCGCTTTCCCTTTTAAGGGGGGAGGGGCTCTTTTGGGTGGGGAGCGCTCTAAGGTGGGGGGCGCCTTTAAACCCGGGTGGAGGCCTTGGTGGGGGTTTGGGGGGGGCGCTTAAAGGGGGGGGGGCGTTCTAAGGGTGGGAGGTTTTAAAAGGGGGGGGGCGCTTTAAGGGTGGAGGCCCCTCTAAGGGTGGGAGCGCTCTAAGGGTGGGGGCGCCTTTTCTTTAAAAGGGGGGGAGGGTTTTAAAAGGGGGGGGAGGGTCTAAGGGTGGGAGCGTTTTAAGTGGGGTTGGGGGAGGTTTTAACAATTGGGTGGGGGGCCGGGGGGTTTTAAGGGGGGGAGCTTTTCCCCCTTTAAAGGGGGGGGAAGGGGGGGGCTTTTTTAAGGGTGGGGCCTCTAAGGGGTTTTGGGGCCCCCTTTCTAAGGGTTGGGGGGCGCTCTAAGGGTGGAGGCGTTCTTTAAAGGGGGGGGTTCTAAGGGGGGGGGGCGCTTTAAGGGTTTGGGGGCCTCTAAGGGTGGGAGCGTTTCTTTTAAAGGGGGGGGGCGCTCTTAAAGGGGGGGGGAGGCCGGGGGGTTTTAAGGGGGGTTGGAGGGTTTAAGGGGGGTTCGGGGGGGGGCTTTAAAAAGGGGGGGGCCAAGGGGGGGGTTTTAAGGGTGGGGAAAGGGGATTCTAAGGGTGGGGGGCGGGGGGGCCTTAATTAGGTTTGGGGGGGGAAGGGGGGGCTCTAAAGGGCGGGGGGGGAAGGGGGGGTTTCCCTTTAAAGGGGGTGAGGCGTTTGGGCCTTAAGGGGGTTTAAGGGGGGGCGTTTAATAAGGGTTGGGGGGGCAAGGGGGGTCTAAAGGGAAAGGAGGCGTTCTAAGGGTGGGGAGCGTTCTAAGGGTGGGGGGCGGCCTTTTAAAGGGGGGAGGCGCTTAAAGGGTGGGGGGCGTTCTAAGGGTTGGGGGTGCTTTAAGGGTGGGGGGGCACTTTAAGGGTGGAGGCACTCTAAGGGTGGGGCGTTTCCCAGGGGGGGGGCTTTTTAAGGGGGGAGGCGCTCTAAAAGGGGGGGGAGCGTTTTTAAGGGTGGGGGGCACTTTTAAGGGTGGAGGCGTTCTAAGGGGGGGAGCGTTCTAGGGTGGGGGGTTCTAAGGGTGGGGAGCGTTCTAAGGGGGGGAGCGTTCTAAGGGTGGGGGGGCTTTAAGGGGAGGCACTTTAAGGGTGGGGGCGTTTTAAGGGTGGGGGGGCTTTTTTAAAAGGGGGGGGGAGGCGCTCTAAGGGTGGGAGCGCTTAAAAGGGTGGGGGGCGCTCTTAAAGGGTGGGAGCGTTCTAAGGGCGGAGGCGCTCTAAGGGTGGGGGCGCTCTAAGGGTGGGGGTGCTTTAAGGGTGGGGGCGCTCTAAGGGTGGGGGCGCTCTAAGGGTGGGGGGCGCTTTAAGGGTGGGGGTGCTTTAAGGGTGGGGGCGCTTTAAGGGTGGGGGCGCTCTAAGGGTGGGGGCGCTTTAAGGGTGGGGGCGCTTTAAGGGTGGGGGCGCTCTAAGGTTGGGGGCGCTCTAAGGTTGGGGGCGCTCTAAGGGTGGGGGCGCTCTAAGGGTGGAGGCGCTTTAAGGGTGGGGGCGCTTTAAGGGTGGGGGCGCTCTAAGGGTGGGGGCGCTCTAAGGGTGGGGGCGCTCTAAGGGTGGGGGCGCTCTAAGGGTGGAGGCGCTCTAAGGGTGGGGGCGCTTTAAGGGTGGGGGCGCTTTAAGGGTGGGGGCGCTTTAAGGGTGGGGGCGCTCTAAGGGTGGGGGCGCTCTAAGGGTGGAGGCGCTCTAAGGGTGGGGGCGCTTTAAGGGTGGGGGCGCTCTAAGGGTGGGGGCGCTCTAAGGGTGGAGGCGTTCTAAGGGTGGGAGCGTTCTAAGGGTGGGGGCGCTTTAAGGGTGGAGGCGCTCTAAGGGTGGGAGCGCTCTAAGGGTGGAGGCGCTCTAAGGGTGGGAGCGTTCTAAGGGTGGGGGCGCTCTAAGGGTGGGAGCGCTCTAAGGGTGGAGGCGTTCTAAGGGTGGGAGCGTTCTAAGGGTGGGGGCGCTTTAAGGGTGGAGGCGCTCTAAGGGGGGGAGCGCTCTAAGGGTGGAGGCGCTCTAAGGGTGGGAGCGTTCTAAGGGTGGGAGCGTTCTAAGGGTGGGGGCGCTTTAAGGGTGGAGGCGCTTTAAGGGTGGGGGCGCTCTAAGGGTGGGAGCGCTCTAAGGGTGGAGGCGTTCTAAGGGTGGGAGCGTTCTAAGGGTGGGGGCGCTTTAAGGGTGGAGGCGCTCTAAGGGTGGGAGCGCTCTAAGGGTGGAGGCGCTCTAAGGGTGGGAGCGTTCTAAGGGTGGGGGCGCTCTAAGGGTGGGGGCGCTCTAAGGGTGGAGGCGTTCTAAGCGTGGGAGCGTTCTAAGGGTGGGGGCGCTTTAAGGGTGGAGGCGCTCTAAGGGTGGGAGCGCTCTAAGGGTGGGGGCGCTTTACGGGTGGAGGCGCTCTAAGGGTGGAGGCGTTCTAAGGGTGGGAGCGTTCTAAGGGTGGGGGCGCTTTAAGGGTGGAGGCGCTCTAAGGGTGGGAGCGCTCTAAGGGTGGGGGCGCTTTAAGGGTGGAGGCGCTCTAAGGGTGGGAGCGCTCTAAGGGTGGAGGCGCTCTAAGGGTGGGAGCGTTCTAAGGGTGGGGGCGCTCTAAGGGTGGAGGCGTTCTAAGGGTGGGAGCGTTCTAAGGGTGGGGGCGCTTTAAGGGTGGAGGCGCTCTAAGGGTGGGAGCGTTCTAAGGGTGGGGGCGCTCTAAGGGTGGAGGCGTTCTAAGGGTGGGAGCGTTCTAAGGGTGGGGGCGCTTTAAGGGTGGAGGCGCTCTAAGGGTGGGAGCGTTCTAAGGGTGGGGGCGCTCTAAGGGTGGAGGCGTTCTAAGGGTGGGAGCGTTCTAAGGGTGGGGGCGCTTTAAGGGTGCAGGCGCTCTAAGGGTGGGAGCGTTCTAAGGGTGGGGGCGCTCTAAGGGTGGAGACGTTCTAAGGGTGGGAGCGTTCTAAGGGTGGGGGCGCTCTAAGGATGGAGGCGTTCTAAGGGTGGGAGCGTTCTAAGGGTGGGGGCGCTTTAAGGGTGGAGGCGCTCTAAGGGTGGGAGCGTTCTAAGGGTGGGGGTGCTTTAAGGGTGGAGGCACTTTAAGGGTGGAGGCACTCTAAGGGTGGGAGCGTTCTAAGGGTGGGGGCGCTTTAAGGGTGGAGGCGCTCTAAGGGTGGGAGCGTTCTAAGGGTGGAGGCACTTTAAGGGTGGAGGCGTTCTAAGGGTGGGAGCGTTCTAAGGGTGGAGGCGTTCTAAGGGTGGGAGCGTTCTAAGGGTGGGAGCGTTCTAAGGGTGGGGGTGCTTTAAGGGTGGAGGCACTTTAAGGGTGGGAGCGTTCTAAGGGTGGGGGCGCTTTAAGGGTGGAGGCGCTCTAAGGGTGGGAGCGCTCTAAGGGTGGAGGCGCTCTAAGGGTGGGAGCGTTCTAAGGGCGGAGGCGCTCTAAGGGTGGGGGCGCTCTAAGGGTGGGGGTGCTTTAAGGGTGGGGGCGCTCTAAGGGTGGGGGCGCTCTAAGGGTGGGGGGCGCTTTAAGGGTGGGGGTGCTTTAAGGGTGGGGGCGCTCTAAGGGTGGGGGCGCTTTAAGGGTGGGGGCGCTTTAAGGGTGGGGGCGCTCTAAGGTTGGGGGCGCTCTAAGGTTGGGGGCGCTCTAAGGGTGGGGGTGCTTTAAGGGTGGGGGCGCTTTAAGGGTGGGGGCGCTCTAAGGGTGGGGGCGCTCTAAGGGTGGGGGCGCTTTAAGGGTGGGGGTGCTTTAAGGGTGGGGGCGCTCTAAGGGTGGGGGCGCTCTAAGGGTGGAGGCGCTCTAAGGGTGGGGGCGCTCTAAGGGTGGGGGCGCTCTAAGGGTGGAGGCGCTCTAAGGGTGGGGGCGCTTTAAGGGTGGGGGCGCTTTAAGGGTGGGGGCGCTTTAAGGGTGGGGGCGCTCTAAGGGTGGGGGCGCTCTAAGGGTGGAGGCGCTCTAAGGGTGGGGGCGCTTTAAGGGTGGGGGCGCTCTAAGGGTGGGGGCGCTCTAAGGGTGGGGGCGCTTTAAGGGTGGGGGTGCTTTAAGGGTGGGGGGCTGATGGACCTACTGTTACTTCACCCGAACGCTTTCATTAGGGTTTTAT